GGTCAGCACCATAATTCCATCTTGACGAGTGGAGATCCTTCGAACTGCTGAAATTCCTCGGCTGGAAAAACCAGCAAGGATCTCCGACACGGGGATAGACTTCAAGTCCTTCTCAACAATAACTCCTCGTGAGGAATTCAAGGAAGTGTGGGGAGTAACCTCAATGGGTATATCCCCAATGGCCTTTGAATTCAAGAGAAGTTCACTGTGCTTAGGATGGGAAGTTACTACTAAGATGTCTCCAGAACGTAGCTTCTTAACTGACTTTGGAGAGCCAGCAAGCCCCTCTAAGCCCTTCTGAATATAAAAAGGAGACATTTGCCCTAAAGATTTATCTGATAGTGAATGCATGATCAAAAAGCAAGGTACAGGTGTACTGTGTGATGGAGACTGCTGTTCAGAGTCTTCTAGGTGTGGTCGTTTACCAATTAGCAGATTTTTAACATTTTTTTTATTTGGAATGGGGGGATCCATAATTAAGGAGAGAGATTCAGTGCCCACTGACCCCACCCGCCATGGAGTCCTACGAGGGGACGCACTACAATGTCAAACAAGGACACTGCAGCAACATGTCAGCAGTTCGGTCACTCAAAGACATCTTGTCGTGGTTCTGTGACGTGTGCTCGTTGTGGTGGCAAGGACCATGATGCCTACCAGTGCAAACTGGACCCTCACTGTGTTAATTGTTATGGTTCCCACCCCTCTTACTTTAAGTCTTGCCCTAAGTGGGTGGAGGAGAAAGAGGTACAGCGTTTGAAGACTCTTAATAACATCTCTTATCCTGAGGCTCGGAAGCTATTGTTCCCTACTACATCTCTGCTACAGTGGGAGTGCAGACGGACCTTTCCGTGCCTCCATCTGAGTCTTTTTCACGCCATGTGCGGGGTCTTCTGCCCTCCATGGATAATAGAGTTGATCAGTCTACATCTACTCCAATCTCTGTCCCCACTGTTCCTTCCAGTGACTGCCTGGGTCAACCTCTTCGTGCACCAGCCTCTGGTGTCCGTGCAGGTCCTTATTTGGCCCCTAAATGCAGGACGATTATTCGATCATGTCCTCAGTCATTGGATTCTCACTCTGATGACAGAGATCTGCCTGCTCGTTCAAGGGCAGGATCC